GGCCTCACCCTCAGAGTCTCTGATTCAGTAGATCCAGGGGAGGGCCCAAGAATTTGCGTTTCTAACAAGTCCCCAGGTGATGCTGATGCTGCTGGTCTGGGGAACCACACTTTGAGAACCAACTGGCTCTAAAACATCCTCTACCATCATCTGCCTCATCATAGATAATCTCAGGGTTAAGTCAGTTTAGAACATCTACTCAGGCTAAAGTAGAGGATCATATGTCTGGCTGCTCATCTGAGGCACCTGTGGAGTTTCTGGTTGTTTTTACCGTGGATTCCTGGCTCTCCTACCAGTCCCACTGCATTGGAGTCTCAGGAGAGTGAAGTCCAGGCACATGTGTTTTGCAAAATGACGCTGGAGTTTCTGATCATGACAAATAGCAACCATTGAACACTTACTTCCTACCAGATGCTGAACTAAGTCTTCCCCAGCCATTATTTCATTTGATCTCCCCAACAACCTCATGAGAAGACTACTATCATCATCCCAACTTTAGAGAGAAGATAAGTCAGCCTTTTAAGGTAACACAGCTAGTTAGTGGTAGATCCTGGACTTGAAGCCAAGCAGTCTGACCCCAGAGAACAGGCTCTTAATCGCAATGTCTGCAGGCTGACCTATTTTGTATCAAACCTTGTGACCATTGATCCAGGGCTTTGAGCATGACCAATGGGGAGAAAGAGAGAAAGAAACCTGAGACAACCTATCCTATGATAGGGTGAGTTACTGAATCATCTGTTGGTACCATTCAGGCCAGAATACCTTCACTTTTAGCTAGATGAGTGCTACTTTTACTTTATTAAAATGTCATCACATAAACAAATACAAAACACTTTTTGCACAAAACAAAACCCTGGATAGAGGCAGTGAGATTTATCTTTAGCAGCAGGAGGATGCTATCAGGGAGCAGACAGTGAAGTCTGGCAGGGGGAGAGTGCACTGTGGGACATGGAAGAAGGATCAGATGACATCCCCTCCGATTACAGCCATATCTCATCAAGACCACAGAAGCATGTAAATGGAAACGCCAACACTTCAAGATCCTCTGAAAGCATGACTTTCGTGCCAACAGTGAACATAACGGGCTTGTCTGCCTGAGTTTCTGGCACCACCCTTTTCCTCCTCCTTGCTGTAATTGCAAGGACTGTCATGCACTTTGTAGGATGCGCTCCCTGCAGAACTTAATGTTCCTTAATGTTAGACCCCCACTATATCGCCATGAGCATTAGAGCTGAGAGAGACCCTAGAGATCATCTAATCCACCCATCCCCACCCCCTTTTTTTTTATAAAGGGAAACTTAGGTTCAACACAGGAAGAGGACTTAAAGTCTACAATGTATTAGGGACAGAGTTCAGGGCAGAACCCAGGCCTCTTGGCTCCCAGTCTAGGGCTCTTTATATAGCCTCTTTATAAATAAAACGACTTTTTTTTGCCTTTCCTTGATGAGTTATTTTGTTGCGGGTCGATAGGGGACAATTTGAACTATTGGACAAAAATTACTAATGATATTTCAGCAAAACAAAGAGTAAAAAGGACTCTCTTGGCAAAGAAATAAATACATGTATCCACATTCATGTCAGCTTTGTAGTAACAGTGTTGTCTCTTTAAAAAAAAACATCCCATAAGAGACATCAGAGACAGCTTGGAAATTTGCTACTTTGAATAACTCTTGGCTGCCTCCCTCTTGATACTCACAAGTTATACCAACTGAAAATGTAGCTGACAAAAATTGCCTAAGTAGAATTACCAGAGCGTGAGGTCTTAACCACCAAGGTTAAAACTTTCTGAGGTTGAACTACAGATTTACAGTCAGACACTCAGCTTTGCGTCTCGTTTTCTGGCTGCTGGAGGGTTGCTGGCTGAAGACCACATTGGTCTTGAGGACGGAATACCTAACTGAGCCTTTACTGCCTGTACACCCAATTGCAACCGGCATACAAGAATTTACAGACTAAGCTTCCAGGTGCTTTCAGTTAGAAGCAGGGTTGTGCCACTGGGTTGAATGGGACTTAACCTTCTCTGTGGTCCTTCTCTCTCCCCAGGGCACGTGCACATCACAGACTTCAACATTGCCGTGATGGTTTCCAGGGAGATGTGCGTCACCACCGTGGCCGGCACCAAGCCTTACATGGGTACGGGCTTCATGAGTGGCCGTAGTGACTAAGAGCAAGACTTTTTGTTTTTCATTCCTGTAGACACCATTTATTCTGGGTCAAATCATCTGTAGGGACTTGCAGCTAGAAATGCCAAGTCCCCCTCCGACTTTAGCTAGGGAGCTTCTGATTTCGTGGGTCTGAGGTGAGCCTCAGGATTCTCCATTTAGCAAGTACCCAATCTGATCTTGATTCAGGAGGACCATTGATTACATTTGGAAAACACTATTTTATGAGTTATTTGGGACAGCTTCTACCCACTTCCTAACAAAGAATATTAATTACTTCAATAAATGTCTACTAATTGCCTCTGTGTGCTTGGCACTGTATCAGGTGCTAGTGACCTCCTAGTGAGCAAAACAGACAAGGTCTCCAGGCCATGAAGCTTGGCTTCTAGCAAGAAGAGCTTAAAAAATACAATCAAACAAAGAATTAATACGCAGTAATCAGTAGGATAGTAATCAATGACATACATATTATTATAACCATAATTTACATAATACTCCACTATATGCGTAGGGCTGTAAAGTTCACCAATGCCTTCCAGGTACAATTTTTAGTTTTCATTTTATCCACAACAATCCCATGAATTCTCCTTTTTAAAGATGAGGAACTGGGTTTTTCCAGAAGCTTCAAATTTACCCAGAGGATGACTAAAAGGGTAGGTTTAGGTGCCAAAATTGTCAACTAGGTCTCACATTTAATTGCGTTAACAGTAAAAAATTAATACCAATTCTGAGCCGGCCCCGTGGCTTAGTGGTTGAGTGCACGTGCTCCGCTGCTAGTGGCCCAGGTTTGGATCCCGAGCGTGCACCGACGCACCGCTTCTCCGGCCATGCTGGGGCCGCGTCCCACATACAGCAACTAGAAGGATGTGCAGATATGACATACAACTATCTACTGGGGCTTTGGGGGAAAAAATAAATTAATTAATTAAAAAAAAAACGAATTCTAAGTTCTGTTGTTGGAGGCAGCCATCTCTGTGTAGACACCAGTCCAGCAGAGCTAGCCCTACCTCCCTTCCACCCTCGAAATATAAAAGGAGAAGTATTGCTCTTTTGGGGCATATGATATTCAGGAGGAGGGACTTCTTCCTCTCCTCTCCCTGCTGTTCCTCAGGCAGATGAGTCAGATCTCAAGAGAATTTTCTGTGGTCTGTGGTGACTGTGAGAAGAGGCCCCTGGTGTCCCATTCTTGGTTGATGACTGTTAAGTCACTATACTTGCTGACTGACCCCCTGCACTGAGTCTGAGTTGGCCATGGTGGGTTGATGAGTTTGGAGTCAAGTTTTGCTGGGGCCCATCGCAGTAAGAGATGGAGAGATGGAGCAGTGTGTGAATATGTGTGTGTCAGGGGGTGAGAGTAACATGGATTAGCCAGAGGATGTGGTCCAGCTTCACAAGGGCCCCTCCAGTGCCCAGGTGGTGCAGCCTGGAAGGGAGGGAGCGTCCTGTCAGCACAGCATACTGGAGACAATACCAGTCCCAATAGAGCCCAACTATATCAGAATCTCTGGGGGTGACACACAAGCATAGGGTGGTTTAAAAGCTCTTTAGGTAATTCTATGGTGCAGCCAGGGTTGAGAAGCTCTGCTGCAGACCATGAGCTATGTCAGCTATCAGAAGCAGCTAAAGAGAGATCACCCTGGAGCAAAGCAGGGCAATTTTGTTAGGATCCCTCTGCCTCTTCATCTCCTAAACAAGTGATACTTTCTAGGAAAAGGGAGAAGGAGGTATGTGAGAGGCAGGTTGGTTGTCCATCTCCACACAAGGTGGCTGAATCCAGCTGGGTGGTATGGGGGAGCTTTGAATCACATATGAGATTAGTTTTAAAATTCACAAGACTGAATTTTAAATCATCTAAAGTAAATGTTTTAATAAGCAAAAGGGATTAAAATTTATTAGGTAACAGACCGAGCTATCATTAAGGGAGCCCCCTACCCAGCAAAAACAAGAGGCTAAACATTGCATAGTTGTTAGCAGATGATAGAAGAATAAAAACTATTCATGCTTCTACCCTAAGTGGTGGAGATGCTTAAAACAGGTGATGCTGCTGGTTAAACTGGTGGCATTAAATCAGGAGTGGAATGAATTGCACTGGCTAGATATGGTCAGAGTAATTCAAAGGCAAAATATTTGAACTTGAAATCAAGAGCAGGAGCAGTGCCACTTTCCTTTTAATATTTCATTCTCTTCCTCATGTAACTAAACAGAGAGAAGGAAAAAACAAACAAACAAACAAAAAAACCCTACATGCAGGGCCACCTCACTTTCCAAGAGAAAGAAATCTTCTGTGGGACAAAATAAGCCTTATTTTATATGATATTTGAACAACTGCAAATTTCCTGGCTTCCAATTACCAGTGGGGGGGAATAAATCTCTTTTGTCATTTCTAATATAATGGACACATAAAATGCAACCAATTTTCTGCCTAAGACCCATGATGCTCAAATGATAAAAAGGAGTATTCAAGCCTGCTGCTCTGATGAGTTTATTCCACAGGTTTCCTGGGTTTCCATATTATGGGTTATTTTCTTGGAGCCAAATCAGAAAATGTGCATCTGGGTTTTCTAGGCCTGTTTCCATGGTGAGAGGAGCAAATGGAGGCCACCTTTCTTGTCTCTCCCCAGTGATTTTAAATACAATATCTGTATCATTTAATTCTCCTCAAAATTGGCATTTCTAGTCTTTTCACAACATAGAGCTAGGAAATTGGAATCTCATCAGGGTTCTCTGCGCCTCTCCACTTTCACCCTTATAATTAACAATTTCTAATATTTATTGAAAGCCTTCTATAGACTAGACAACGTGTTAAATGTTTTATGTTCATTTACTCATTTATTTTTTCTCAACAACCCTATGAGGCAGACTATAATTATCATCATTCTACAATGAGGAAAATAAGCAAAGTAATTTGCCCAAGATCACATGGCTAATAATTGAAAAAGCCTAGATTTAAACCACGCTCTGTCTGACTTCAGAAAAATCAAGCTTCTCCCTGAAAGAGAGATAGAGAAATTATTTTAAAAAATTTTTATTTGTGGTTTTTAAGTGCGTGTAAGCCAATTTAGGTAGGCCAAACTCTTAGGAATGTTTGTTTTATTAGAAAGTGAATGACTGTCATCACTTATCTCTCTATCCAGAAGTTGCCTTTGGCTTTGATTTTAGGGTAGGAGTCTTTCTAAGAGGTGTCATGGGTGGAAGTCTGCTTCCTCTTTTTAAAAATTACATTCTCAATAATTTGATAAATCTACCTAACAGACATTCACCAGCACCCGTTTCATAGTGCTCCTGTAGGATACTAGATAGCAACTAACCAGAAAGAAAAAAAATTCTAAAAAGAAAGAAAACTAGGATGAAATACTGAATGAAGATGATAGGAATATGCAACATCTACTAATATGAAATGCTGAGCGTATTATTCAGCAGCTCCTTGGCTCTGGAAATGGGAAGACAAGCAGTCTGCCAGTTCATAATCACCTTCCGTTCATAATCTTCTCTCTCCATGCGCCCTCCATCACTCCAATCCTTCCTTCTCCCTACCCTTGTGTCTGTGTGGATATAATCCAGATCACTTAGAGCTTAACCAATTAAAACATTCTTGTCCTCCTAATTAAAAACAAAGCAAACAAATTCACAATGGAAAATGTGTAACATGCAGATAAGCAAAGGGGAAATTAAATTAATCCCTCTGCTTGTAGATATTTATGGTTTCCTTCCACACCTTTTTTTTTCTATGCACATGTACATTTTTAAAAAGTTAGATCGTACTGAATTTTTGTAACCTACATTTTCACTTTATAATATAATAATACCAACAGTAATAGGCATCATGTAGTCTGCATTTATTATCTCTTAAGCAGTTTGCTAAGTTTTTAACATTTATTATAACATTAAATTCTCAAAGCAACCCTATGAAATAGATTTTACTATTCTCATTTCATAAATTTAAAAAAAAATCAGGCCTAGAGAGAAAGTGACATGATTATAATCACACAGCAAGTTACTGGTAGAGCACAAAGTTAAGCCCTAGTCAAAAAAAAGTCTCCAGCCTGGAACAGTGATGATGTTGATGAAGGTATAATGGCTGACATTTACTATGTGCCCAGCACTGTTGTAAGGACGTGTATTACGTCATTTAAACGTTACGTATTATGTGATATGTAAACATCACGTGATACATAAGTATTACGTCAAAAAACAATTCTGTGAGGCAGGTGCTATTGTCATTCCCACTTAAGAGATGTGCAGACGGAGAGGTTAAGAGCTTTGCCCGAGGTGGAGCTATGGATACAGCCCTTAGAGTCTGATGTTGGAGCCCTAACTCTTAACGTTCTGCTCCGCCACCTCCCTGCCAGTCAATAAACAGGCCTCAGTCGGAGTTGAAACCTGCTTCTCTCGGACTCCAGAGCTCGGGTCTGGACAACTAACACTGCTTATTTTTCCATGCCCATATATATAACTATGGTTCTTAATGGTTACATGCTACAGAATGAGAGGACTGCATCAAAATTTATTTAACCATTTCTTTATTGTGGAACGTTAGGTTGTTTCTCATTTTCAAATATAAATTTATGATAAAAAATTCTGTTCGTGGAAATAATGTCCTGCAACTTAATTATTTCCTTGTGATAAAGTCTCAATGCCTGGTCAAAGGGTATACATGTTAATGCATTTCCCTCCTGAAAGTTCGCTGTTGACTTCTACTCATTTGCTCTGGGAGTGTCAGAAGATACTCATCTCCTCACATCCTCACCTCGGCTGCACTTCCGATATCTTAATCTTCCTGGAAATATAAGTGGAAATGGTACCTCATTCTGATATTAAAATTTGCCTGTCTTTTACTTCTTTCATAAGTTGCTTGTTGATGTTCTTTGCCCATTTTCTATTAGGGTGTTAATACTTTTTTCCTATTCTGATATTTCTTATTGGTTATATAAAGAATTCTTGCCCTTTATATATTAGGAATATTAAATTTTAGTGTATTTAGTGTATTTATTTAGTTATAAATATGATTTCCTACTTTTTAGTTGCTGTTGTTCTTATGGCATTTTTGACATGAAGGACTAGTTTTCTAACTAATCAAACCATTAGTCTTTGTACTTTATAGTTTCTACATTTGATGCTATTCTTAGCAAGACCTTCTTACCTCCAGATTTTAGATATGGTTACCTAATATTTTTATTACTGTTGTAGTTTCATTTTTTACTTAGTCCAGCTATATATTATCCTCACTGAAGATATGTGGTAAGGACCTGATTTTATTTTTCTTAGGTTATTAAATAATTGTTTTGAGAACATGTATTAAATAAGATCCTTTCCATGATGATTTGAAATTTGTTCATCATAAACTAAGAATATTTATGTACTGGCATCTATATTCTGTGGCTTACAAATCTTAATTATTGTAGATTTATAATGCAATTTAATACATGGGATGCAAGTCTCTTTATCCTTTTTCAAAAAGCTTTCATTATTCACACTTTTTTTGTAGATGAAATGTAGAATCATTTTGTAAATTCCAGAAATTACTTCTATTGTATTAAATTTATATATTAGTTTTTGGGCCCTTTCTTTATGTCCTGACCAGCATCTACTGTCCAGTTGTTTTAAAATCTGAAAACCAAATGATGGAAATCTAAATAGCTAATAAACATATTAAAATGAGGTCAAGCTTATTAGTAATCAAGGGAATGCCAATTTAAACCACAAGGAAAGACCGTTATGTACTCACTAGATTGCCAGAAATCGAAAGATCAATTAATACCAAATGTGGATAAGGAGGTTGAGAAAGGGAAGTGTCATATATTGCTGGTCATAGTGTTAATTGGTACAATCACTTTGGTAAATAGTTGGCATTATCTAGTATACATGAAGATACACAGCCAACCCCTAGCTGTTCCCCTCCCAGGAATGTACCCTAAAGATGTGTGGACTTATCAGAGTCTTACATGTGCAGGAATGTTTGTGAGAGCATTTTTCACAATACTCCAAAATTGAAAAGAACCCAAATGGCTGTCCACAATAGAATAGGTAGGTAAATTACAGTATATTCGTATAGCATTGAATGTGAACAGACTATGTGCAGCAAGTTAGATAAATTTTATACACATAATGTTGAGCAAGAAAAGACACCAAAGAAAACATGGAGTAGGATTTAACATATATGTTTTATATGTATATAAACACACACATACATGTATGTTATATATATCCACTATATACACATATATATAACATATATATTACTAAAATAGGCAAAACTAAAGTATGGCTTAGAAATGCATATGTAGATAGTAAATCTATGTAGAAAGGCAAAACAATTACTAACACAAATTCAGGATGGTGGTTACTTCTATGGTTGTGAAAAGGGCAGGACACAGTGGTGGGATCAAGATTCTATTTCATGACCTGTGTAATGGTTACCTGGCCATTTGCTTATAACTACTTTTTAGATTCTTTTCTGTTTTATTTGATTTTGTGAATGTAGGTATAGAAATACTTTAAAAACCAAACAAAATACTCAATGGCTTTTTTGAAGGAGGCTTAGTCCCTCTCCACCTCTATTCGTCCCTCTCAGGAGGGGAATCCTCTTGAAGGGTTGATGAAAGCCCTCAGTATCTCCCTGCTGCGGGTTTTCAGCTCTTTGAGGGCTCAAAGAATTACCATCTGTTATGCTTCTGTATGTTGCCATGATGTTTTTTCTTAATGTTCCACCAAAATTCCTCAGTGCCTAGTACACCATGAATATTTGTTGAATGAATGAGTGCATATTCAAATGTCTTCATGCCAGAAAATAGCATAAGGAGAAGAGGAGAAAAAAGTCTACTCATAAACTCCGAGGATGGTCCAAGATGACAGAATACACAGCTGTTACAGAGTAATGTTTATTCTGTTAGGTATTTTCTTAGCACAGTGGTCTGTTTATCCCTCAAAGTTCTCTGCAGCTTCTGTGAGATGTCTGTCACCTGTCACCTGGGGGACTATCTGAGATGACTTGCTGTAAAATACTGATAAGGGAAAGCAGAACTATAGTCCATTCCATCCAGTCTGTGGGGTACCATCGGGTCAGAGCCATTATCTCCCAAATTGCGTGGGGAGCTGTGACTTGCAGAAAGAATGCAGTGATGCATGAAAGGTGAATTCACTAGAGAATGAGGCCTACTTAGTCCTGCTACGGCAGGCTCTTACAGTCAGGGGCAGTCCTGGGCATCAGGATGTCAACATTCTACCTCTCTAATTGGACGCTGTCCACAGGATTTTACTGAGACCTTGAGTGCACCGAGCAGGGCAAGCCTGTGTGCACAGGCCCCACGTCACACCCATTCCTTCGTCCAGAGCCAGCACTTTACTACCAGAGTCTTGGGTCAAGTGTGTGTAGCTTTTGACTAAGTAAAGTTCCCATTATGGTGGATGTTTGCCTCTCTAGAAGAGTGCCTAATTTTTTGAGCACTTTCCGGGTGCCAGGCACTGTGCTGAGATTTTGGCATGCATTACCTCATTTAATTTCTTACCTCTGTAAAGATTGTCTTATTCTGATTTTGCTGATGAGGACTCTCAAGCTCAGCCAACTGACTTCTTCCAGGTCACAATAAGTGGTGAAGGCAGGATTGTGGGTTTTTTTTTTTTTTTGAGGAAGATTAGCCCTGAGCTAACATCCATTGCCAATCCACCTGTTTTTGCTGAGGAAGATTCACCCTGGGCTAACATCCATGCCCCTCTTGCTCTACTTTATATGTGGGACTCCTGCCACAGCATGGCTTGATGAGTGGTGCCTAGGTCTGCACCCAGGATCTGAATTGGCAAACCGCAGGCCGCCGAAGTGGAGGGTGCAGACTTAACCACTATGCCACTGGGCCAGTCCCTGAAGGTAGATTTTGAACGCAGACAGCATGGTTCCAGAGCTAATGATTGCAACCGTTGCTTAATTAATTGATTCAGCATTATTCATTCATTCAACAAATTTCTGTTGAGTGACTAAGTGCCAGGTTCCATACTGGACACTCAGAATGAGTAGTAAGCAAGCAGAGAAGACACCTGCCCTTGTTTTGTACTTCATTCTCCATACTCCACCCTTCAGGAGTTAGGTATATTCTTGGAAGAGTATGGAGAAGGCTCACGGTGTGTCAAAGTGTTTAGAGAATGCATAACTAGGGGGTCTCCACTGGCGGTAAAAGTGACTGTAGCTTTGCCTTCTGTTGGAGTCAATTCAAAGAACTGTGTTACGAAGTGTCAGTGCCACACAGCTGATATAGAACCTTCTGTCTCTCAGAGGGCCCACTCCCTCCTTCTCCTCCCTCATCCGCAGTAGCAGGCCACAAATGCTGCCCTTGCCCCTTCCAGATGACTCTGAGATAGAGCCAATCCAATGTATGTTGCACCAAATGCTGAGCATTGTTTGCAAGAGTAATACAGATTCCGGTGCTTTAGCCCAAACCTTCCAAATCAGGACAACAAATAGCATCTCTCAGCCTTCTTGATTTCAGGGTCAGCCGCGCATTTGAGGCCTGATGGCATCCAATTGTTAGTAGGTGCACGATCTAAATAAGAGGAGAATATGACCATTAAGGCGTGTGCGTGCCTGTGTGTGTTGTTGATGAATGAGGCTACTGAGAGACATTAGAAAATGAGAAATTTTGCCTGCTGTGAGCAATCTAGCAATGGATGATAAACATCCATAAAAGTGTTCATACCCTTTACCCTGGTAATTCACCTTTGGAGGAACATGTCGGGGAAATAGATGTGTTAATGTCTCAGGGAGTGAAACTGACCTAACTTTTCTTGTTTTTGCCAGCACCTGAGATGTTCAGCTCCAGAAGAGAAGCAGGCTATTCCTTTGCTGTTGACTGGTGGTCGCTGGGAGTGACCGCATATGAGCTGTTGAGAGGCCGCGTACGTACAATTGCATTTCTCTTTGGTTATTCTTCCCGCAAGTTCCATTTTTAAGAAGAAATAATGGCTTTTTGGCTAAAAATCAAGCAGTTTCTTTGAGAGGTGAAAGCCACTGTGCCCATGTGATGCTGATCACAACCCTTGGGATTTCTGCACCCATTAATTCAGTCTCCCACATATGGGACCAAGCTTGTGAGTTAACATTAAATTATGCAGATAAAATTAAATGAATAATATGGATATTATAAACTCCCAGAGAGGGAAAATCAATATGCCTCACTCAATATCTTGTCTAAATATATTTGTTTGTTTAAAGAAAATCATTTCGCAGTCACAGTACAGGACTCTAATTCAGGGACACTCCCCAGGGCGAGTGTGAATTATTAATACAACATAATTCATGCCCTGTCCTGTCGGATTCCTGTCTGTCATTTGGCTCCTGGGTTCTGGGTTCAGTGGCAAATTAGAGTTGTTTCCTTTTAAAAGAAACATTTCTTAAACTAAGAAAATGCCTAGTAAGAATTTTGCTAAGAAAATATTTTTTCTCCCACCCATATTATTTTATACCCAGATTACTTATAATTATGGTAGTTCCCTGTGATCTGATGTATCAACATTTTCAGATTCATTTTTGTTTCTTTCTTTTGCTTCGGAAAGGTGAAGAAAAGTTACTATTAGGTTGCTGAATTTTATATATGTATATGAACATTTAAGTTTTACTCTCTTAGCAAGTTTTGATTATACAATACAGTGTTATCAACTATAGTCACCATGTTATACATTAAATCCTCAGACTTGATTCATCTTATAGATGAAAGTTTATACCCTTTTACCAACCGCTCCCTACTTTCCCCACCCCTCAGCCCTGGCAACCACTTTTCTATTCTGTTTCTATGAGTTTGACTTTTTTTTTTTTTTTGGATTCCACATGTAAGTGATACTATGTAGTATTTGTCTTTCCACGTCTGGTTTATTTCACTTAGCATAATGACCTCAGGTCCATCCGTGTTGTCTCAAATGATGAGATTTCTTTCTTTCTTGAATAATATTCCATTGTAGATATATATATACCACATCTTCTTTATCCATTCATCTGTTGTCAGACACTTAGGTTGTTTCCATGTCTTGGCATTGTGAAAAATGCTGCAATGAACATGGGGGTGCAGATTCATTGTTCTAAAGCACAGATCTGACCTTTCATGTTAAAAAAAAGCTGTTGCTCCCAGTGCTTCATATTCATGCACACACACACAATCTCAGATGCCTTAGCTTGGCATTCTTTGCCTTTTAGAACCAGATTAACTTCAGATTTTGCTTCAATTTGAGTGACCCTGACTCTGTGAACTCACTTGGGCCTCGGCTTCTTTGGACTTCCTCCTCTCTGGGGCATCCCTTGGGTGTTATTACTTCTTGTTCCTTTGCCTGTAAAGATATTTCCCAAGGTAAACCCTGGTCTTCTTAAAAAGTCATTCTTCAAATATGTTTGGGAATTGTTAAATTGACTTTGAATAAAGTTAAGGATGTGTCTTAATTGTAAGACTTTTCAAAATCTTTATATCTAATGTATATTGATCATTTCCTAGAAAAGACATATGATTCGACTAACCCAAATTTCCTTTGCTGGGAAGGCCTTTCTCCAGACCTTTTAATATTCAAATCCTGCCCATTCTTTATGGCCCATGACAAAATGGCACCTTCTCTGAAGAAATTTTCTCTCATGTCTCTAGCTGAATCTGTCTCTCTTCCAAATACGTATGTACTTCATCTCTCTTATGACCCTTCTGAATTTAAAATTGTTGGAAAATATAGAAAAGCACAAAAATGAGGGTAAAAGTCAACCACATCTTCTAAGGCAAAGAAAATTCCCCCAAAATTAAACCCTCCTTTGACCTTCCAATCCCACCTTCCAGAATGAACAGCTTGCTGTAGTCACTTCCAAACCTTTTCTGTTCTTATAAGGATAATCTATTTTCACATACACATATATATGCATTATTATTGCCATCGTTTTAGTAAAATAGAATTATGCTTTACCTTTCTGTTGTGACTTTTTTTCACTTAATAAGATAAAATGTAGAAGTTTCTACATCAGAACACCTAAATCTATTTTAGTTTTTGGATCAAATCCATTCTCTAAATTTATTGCCCTTGTAAATTTTTCCAGGTGTATCCATTTTTATGTTCTTATCTCTTCTATATTATTAGATTGTAAATTCATTAAAGGCGAAGCATGTATCTTATCCAGTTTCATATTATCCGTAGTGTTTAACTTTAAATAGGTACATAATAAATGCATATTAAGTGAATGGAGGAACAAGTCACTACAAATCAATTCTGATACATTCTAGGACAGAATCACCAGCTAGACTGTATGTAATTATGTTTCAAAATATAGGTAATCTGAAGAAATGAAATACCAACACTTAATTACAACTATCAACACAACTAACCACAGAGGAAGGGTGCTAAACTATAATTTCCTGCTACACTTACAAATTCTTATTTACAGAAAAATATATGCCTCAAAGAGAAATGTGCTTGAAAACATCCCCATGGTTTCTTAGCTTGATCTCCATCTTGATGAGTGTGTCCCTTAGCCATTAACCTCCTTTGTCATTTCTCTGTGTCCCAGCTCTCATTGCCATTGTAAAGACAAGGTCTATGTCTTTTCTAATTTTGTACTATCCATAAGTATTAGCTTATGCTAGATACATACATAGTTTTGCACTAATTGCACATCCTTAGCTGCAACTCTTTTGCTTTTTTTACCCCTGAAATATGACTATAATCACATTTTCTCCCATCTAATATTTTACCTTTTCCCCTGTGTTCATTCTTTATATTCTCACTCTTAATTTATATGCTGCCTTAAAATTATTTGCTATATCCTGTTATTGCACACTGTAATGTTTCTTTATAGCGTGCATTCCAGTTATTTAAGTGTCTTTGTGTATGTACAGTCTATATAACTATCTGTGGTTTCCCTGCGTAGACGATAGGCTCCACCAATGTAGGTCATGTCTGTGTTGAACTTCATCGTATCCCCAATGCTCAACAGAGGTGCTGAAAGATAGTAGGCATTCAATAAATATTTGGTAAATGAGTAAATATATAATTCTAGTAGTTGATGAATTAACATGGATTTTTAAAATTTAGGACTAGAAAAATAAGTTATTGTGTAACAAAGGCAGTTTGACTGTTTTTAATAAGTTGATAGGTCATGAGGACTTTTAAAAAATATTAAATTCAGTCCTATTACCTTCTAAAGTAAATGAAAAAACACTCTTAAACCAGTTGCTTGTAGCATTCATCCATTAATTTATTCATTTAGGAAATCATTTTGTGTTTTTAGATGTCTAAGAAACAGTAGGTTTAGTAGCTTTTAGAAGCAGTAATGAATCAAAGAAGAAAATCAGAAAAAAGAAAAAATATATGTGTACATGACTATAACCCTGGAAGCTTGAGTATGCCCAACCTACCCAGCTCTGAATGGTATACATGGAGTGGATCACATGTGGTGACCCGCAGTGCCCTTCCACTGGTAAAGGGTCAGTAAACACCGGTACTGGTGATAAGGTGCCCAGCACTCCTTGTCTGGCATTGAGTTACAGGGGTTATTTCCACTAAATCGTTACTGAGACAAATGAATTAGCTATGGTCCTTTACTCAGTCTTGAGGGAAGAAAATATGTGGCAAGTGTTTTTAGACCTTACATAAAAAAATGAAGTTTGGACACTCTCCTTTTTAGGGGTCAACTCCTAGCACTTCAGCGTTCCCTGAATATCTGCTGTTGACATGCCATGTGTAGAGTTAAGCCTTCTTCACATCACCTTTATTGAAGACACATCTTGCTGTTTACTATTCACATTTATATCCACCCATTTTACCCTTGAGTCAATAACAATAAAAATGCCTCTCCTGTATTGTGTCTAGTATATGTTAGCCACTCTATTGAGAACTTTACATGTCTTATGTCATTTGCTTTTCCCAACAATCTCGTGAAGTGGTTCATTTTACAGATGAGGTAGCTTCATCTTACAGACGAAGGAACTGAAACTTAGAAATTGAGTGACTCAGTTTAGCCCTCAAATCTTTTGCCTTAAGAGCTCAAATATTTAATTACATTATATTACCTTTTAATACTGATTTACAACAGGGCAAAAATTAAACTTCTCCACTTCATCCAGTTTAGTTCATCAGTTCACCGTCGTTTGTTGAGTATCTCGAAAGGGCCAGGCACTTGATAAAGGTACATGTCCATATTAACTGTCATATTGTTGGTTAATCTAATGTGGAAATTTTGTTCATTCGACAACCATGTAATGAGTACCTACTAGGTGCTTGGTCTCATGGGCAAAAATGTGAGTATGGTAAAGTTTCTGGCTTTAAGTACCTCACAGTTTACATAAAAGAGAGAAAACCCCAACGTGAATGGTTCCTTTACGAAATAGGGAAATTAATATAGGTCAAGGCTGCCCTCTAGTGGACAGTTGTGAAAACTGTAACAAAGCCACCGTTTTGTGTTCTTTCTTTCCCCGAAGTTAAAACTATAAAAGAAACTGGTTCTCTCAGAAGTAAAAACACTTTTGCTTCATCGTAAAATTTGTGACCCCACTCCATAGAACCAGGACTCATAGCATTTGGAACTGGAGTTGAAGTTTTCTGGGTAACTTTCCGTTCTGAACTTATTATGATTCAGACAAGTGAAAAGAGGTGTATGGTAAAATTTTGGATCTTTTTACAATCAACATTTAAATAACAATTTTTTAAAACTTCCATTGACTGAGCACTTGTACTTATATAGGTTACCTCACAAAACAATTCCAAATTGGCATCTCACAGATGGATTTAGCCCGCAGAAATGTTTTGTTTGGTCCAACAGAATTACCGATGGTCAAAAATTCTGACATTTATAAGTATAGATTTCTAGTATCTTTTTTCAAAAAGTAGGAGTTCTGGCAACAGTGGACCACATATACATATGATAACACAGCAATCAGCTGGAAGGGATTAGAAAATGATACTGAGATTTTACTGGATGAAAATCTAGCACGGAAACATTGGCAAAGCAAAATTTTTTTCTTTTACCCTATAAAAAGGAAGACTCTAACTTCTTCTCTCCCTTAAGAGACCGTATCATATTCGCTCCAGTATTTCCAGCAAGGAAATTGCACACATGTTTGAGACGGCTGTTGTGACTTACCCTTCTGCCTGGTCGCAGGAAATGGTGTCACTTCTTAAAAAGGTAAGAAGGAGGATGCATGACAAAAGGAAGTCATAAAAAAGAAACATGCTGTCTGGTTTGAGGTTAGAAGTTAGTATACAATATTGGAGGCAGTCATGATAATAGACATTTCCAGAGTGGGTTTTGCAGCTAACAGCTTTTAAATACATGGCTTCATTAGGACAATGCACATGTCCTCTTGTGTGTCCCAAAGCCACCTCGAACTCACTGTGCCCAAAATGGAGTTCTTGATCTCTCTGTATTTCTTGAACTTGCTCCAATGTTCCCTCTCTCAGTGACTGGCCTTTCCATCCATCCACTTAGGCAAGCCAGAAACCAGAATTCATTTATCATCCCCATATGCAATCTATCACGATGTTCTGTAATTTCACCTTTTAAATATCTTTTGAATCTGTCACTTCTTTCCATCTCCACTGCTATCTTCCCAATCCTACTGCCATCAAGTCTTGCCTTATAACTGGTTTGCCCTTCGACACTTTTACATACTCCATTCTGCCCCATAGTTATCTGTTCAAAGCAAAGCTCATTGTCTTCCCATTGTTTTTAGAATAAAGATAAAAATAATTTGCATGGTATAAAGATTCTAAGTACCTCTCAAGCCTTAGTTTGGACTTTGGTTTCCCTTTTGATTACACATAAACTGCTTTGGCCTTCTTTTTCTCTTCTCTTCCCTCCCCCAACACATATCAGTCTCTCACCAATGTTCTGCCTAGAACATTGCCCCCATCCCCAGCGCTTCCAGCTCGCTCCTTTAGATCAGTACTACTCAATGCGATTCACTGACTGGTTCAGGTCAATCAGTTGTTCCCTACAGGTCCATCACAAGTACAGAAATTCAGAGAAACATTTAGAAACTTTTATAGCAATTTGAGACTGCTGATGCCTCCATGGTCAGTGGGCTCATCTCACCGAATGGGGTACAAGCCTATTTGGTGATGTCGAACTCAAGTCATAAGTTGCATTTGGTGTGGAGTTGCATACTAGCCATGCACAGTAACACCACATATTGGTTTCAGTGAGTTGGAAATTAAAACAGATGAACAAACAAACAAACAGAAATAATTGGCCCTTCTACACAGTTTGAGAAGCACAGCTTTAGATCTCGGCTCAAATATCACTTCCTCGGGGAGCCTTCCTCTGTTGTAAGCTCACGTAGCACTATCTTGCCTTCATAGAATTTTTCACAATTCGAAATTATACATTTCATGTGTGTGATTCTTGGGTTAATGATCATTGTCCTCTAAGCAGTGTGAGGGAGGGACCATGTCATGCTTGTTAACCTCAAGCATCCAACACAGAGCCTGACAGGGGGTAAAATTTGGTATTTGAATTAATGAGGTTCGTAGCTTTCATCAGAATTTCAAGGTGCCCATGTTCACCAAAAAGATTAAGAACAAATGTAGCGGGAGCTCAGTCTATGTATTGCACGATTATGTGAAAGAAAGAATGAGGTGCCCAGGAGGATGATGTTGGCTTTTTTCGAAGAAAGAAAATTACACAGATTGTGGCTGGTCAAAAAAAGATCTTTGGGGGCTAACGATTCAAACCCGTGTCTCTTGACTTTGGGGTCAAGTTGTCTGTTTTAGAATAGGGATGCTGCCCTTGATAATGTCAAAGATGAAGAACAGGGGGGTCATTTTCCGTAAGCAGATTTTCCTCAGTTCCAAGACAGCCCTCTTCACCCCAAAATTACACCCTGATGATCCATGTTGTCACCTCCAGGACATTCTCAAGTGGACCTGACATTTCCCCCTTGAGCCAAAGGATTGATGTGATGTTGCTCTGGAGTGGTCAAGGGGGAGAAAAAAGCTTTAATACCAGTCTGGAAAACCCAGAACTATGACAGTAGCCTTAGTTACATCTTATCTGTGTCACCCTCAATATATATTGATTAGTTGCAAAAACAGCTCAAATTTTTAGTGAAAGTGAATTTCATTTATAAAATCTGTGCACATTCGCCACCTAATGAGAGCAGACCTCCTCTTAGGCACTTTATAGACGTGGCCTCATTTTTTTTTTTCTTTTGTGAGGAAGATCAGCCCTAAGCTAACATCCGTGCTAATCCTCCTCTTTTTGCTGAGGAAGACCGGCTCTGAGCTAACATCTATTGCCAATCCTCCTCATTTTTTTCCCCCAAAGCCCCAGTAGATAGTTGTATGTCATAGTTGCACATCCTTCTAGTTGCTGTATGTGGGACGTGGCCTCAGCGTGGCCGGAGAAGCAGTGGGTAGGTGTGCGCCCGGGATCCGAACCCAGGCCGCCAGAACCGCTAAGCCACGGGACCGGCCCAGACATGGCCTCATTTAATCCTAGCTGAACCTTATCAAACAGGTTGTTATTCCATTTTTACACATGGGTAAACTGAGGTTTAGAGAACAAACTTGGCCATAGTTAGTAGGTAGGGTATTCAGGAATCAAAGATGTGTTTGACTCAGAGCATGAGTTTTTTTACTCACCACGTTGCAAAAACCAACTTACAATTCATTCTAGCCATGCATCACCTACATTATTTGTTTACGCCTGCATTATCTATATTAGTTGTGTATGGGGTTAGGGAAGGGGAACACTGCCTTGTTTCCTTCAGTCCTACACTTGAAAACACTTATAGGGAATTTGTATGATTTTTTGCCCCATTTTGACCTTCTTTATAATCTTGATGTTTATATTCCATTGGCAGCTACTTGAACCTAATCCAGACCAGCGGTTTTCTCACTTGTCTGACGTCCAGAACTTCCCATACATGAATGATGTGAACTGGGATGCAGTTTTGCAGAAGAGGCTCATTCCAGGTTTTATTCCTAACGTGAGTCAATTCTAACACTGATAACGCCTGATAACGCTCCTTCAGTGCATGTAACTCTGTGTGCCAGACACACACATGGTCTCACGAGAGAGCCACACCAGTGTGGTAAGATAGCCCAGATTCCTGCTTTACAGATGGGAAAACTGACACACAAGGGTAAGTTGGTCACCAAAGGTCACATGTCAGTAACTAGCAGGGCTGCAGTTCTAATCCTGATCTGTGTCTGGAGTTCTAGCTCCTAACCACTTTTTGTGGCTTGCTTTAATTGGAAAGAAGCCCTAATCTTCCAAATAGTCATTTCCAGGAACCTGCTAATTGAAAAAACAATGTTTTCTCTGATTCCAAAGATGTAGAAATTTGTATCCATGGAGTTCTATGAGTCAAAGGATTGAAAACTGTTGGAATTGGGGTGAGGTATTATTTTTACCATCCACCCCTCTTCCTCTGGTAGTTCTATTCCAGGGAGCTACACTTATAATGACTAACAGCCAAAGGGAAATAATTCCCACCGATGACTGCCTGGCTGAGGGACATCGTGGCCTACTACAGACCGCTGGTAAAAGTCTGAGTCCAGAAGCTTGGGCCAACAGGCCTAAGTGAGGCCTCTGGCCCCTTCTCTCTTCCACAACCTGATTCTATACATTTAGACATAGGTAGATTGGCAGAATAATGAGCTCTTAAAGGGGCCTGGAGAGACAATTGAGAGTTTTCTGTCCTTAAGCCCAAGCGAGGCACTCGCTGTGGGAGTGTGGGAGTGTGACCCTTCATGTGCAAACAGCAGAGGGAGCTGCGATGAGAAGGTCGGGTCAAAGTGCAAAATGAGAAGTGAGAAGGCAGTGTGGGGAATTCTAGGCTGGGGAATCTCTACCTTATGGAGCAACGGAAAGACGGGGTCAAGGTCACACCTGTCCGCTGTGCAGGGTCCAGTAGGGGCCGCTTGTATCATGGTTGAGGCAGACCCTCTGGAGATCTAGCTCCACCTCCTGTTCCTTCTCCTCCTACATGCCCCCCATTGCAATTAGCCACCAACGCTGCCTTGAGAGACGCTCTACATATGGCCTCTGACTTTATTGTGATAAGATGGGAGCTTGTTAAAATGCAATTTCCTGGGCCTCGTGTTCGGAAACACTGATTCAGGAAATCTGGGCAGGGAACTGGGAGTAAAGAACTCAGGTGATTCTGATCTACAAGATCATTAGAACATCTTGGAGAAGCAAAACCCCAAAGCTCAAACTTTAAAAAATAATTGTAATTTGGGGGCTGGCCCGGTGGCGCAAGCGGTTAAGTGCACGCGCTCTGCTGCGGCGGCCCGGGGTTGGCTGGTTCGGATCCCGGGCGCGCACTGACGCACTGCCTGTGAAGCCATGCTGTGGCGGCCTCCCATATAAAGTGGAGGAAGATGGGCATGGATGTTAGCCCAGAGCCAGTCTTCCTCAGCAAAAAAAAGAGGAGGATTGGCAGATGTTAGCACAGGGCTGATCTCCTCACAAAAAAAAACAAAAAAAAAATAATAATTGTAACTTGATTTTCTTTCTAACTCACCGAGGGCTCATTGGGAGTTCAGAAAAATAAACAAAATATAAAATTAAAGAATATGAAGAACAATGTTGGCAATAAATTATCTAAAACAGAGTGGGAATCCCAGCTTATCACCCTTGGACTGCTCCGTGAGGACTTATTTTCCACAGTCTGGTGTATTTTTAGAATGATACAGGAATCTAAGGAGTGAGCAACCTGTCTTCCTTGCAGAAAGGCAGGCTGAATTGCGACCCCACCTTTGAACTTGAAGAAATGATTTTGGAGTCCAAACCTCTTCACAAGAAAAAGAAGCGTCTGGCAAAGAAGGAGAAGGAGATGAAGAAGTGTGATTCCTCTCAGGTGAGCAGGGTCCCCGCCACCCTCAGGGTCAGGGGAGTCTTCGTGACAGCTGCAATTCATTTGAGAGTTTCTGGTGGGACATCATCTCAGCATCCTGATTTTGCTGAATGCGGGAAGGAGCTGAGCACCCAGGTAGACCAGGGCAGTTCTGGGGACCCAGGCAGCAACGTTTCACTCGAGGACTTTCTCTCTAGTGCTCTATTAACTTGATTCACTCATTGCCCTCTCCCAGCTCTCAATTAAAAGTTTACAATTTCCTGGGAGAGGCTCTAATTGGCTAAAGCTAGGTCAAGTGACTATCCCTAACACGATGGGCCAGGGGCTGGTTTTAAAGTACACAACTGGCTATTTTGGGCCCCACTCCTACTTTGAGGAATCTGGGAGCAGCCAAGCCTAGACGGGGTGTCTGTTCTTTGCCACAAGCAAAATTTCATGATACTGGGGCTAGCAGAAGTAGAGAGTGTCTGTTTACAGAAAAGATGGAATTCTTCTAAGGTCGAGCACTATTGCTGGATTTCAGGCTGAGTGAAATTAATTTTCTAACTAACTATATTATTCTCTGTCAGAGTTAGAGCTCAGATTTCAATATGGTAACTTGCAGGAACTCAGCAGGGTTTTATACATGTGGTCTATCTATTATAATGATGGTGACATAATAAATAGTCACTTTGCCTCTCATGGTCATCCATTCATCCACATAACCATCCACTCGTCCCCCTACCATGTCAACTAATGGTCATCCATCCCTCCATTCCTCCATCCGTCCATTCATTTAGGCTACTTTTATTGAGTACCTATTATCTGCCAGGTCCTGTGCTAAACACTGGAGAGAGCTGTGAAGGAGATAATAATGCCTGCATTCAATGACATCCCTGTTCTCAAAGATTGCTTAGTCTTGTGGTGAAGATAGCCCTGCAAACAATTAAGTATCCTCAATGTGCTTAATTTCTCTAGTCCTCAGGGGCTACTATACCCTGTAATGGTCCATTAACCAAAGTCCACATCCTGTTGGTTCACAGAACTGGCTTCTTGCCAGATTCCCATCCTTAAGTGTTTTCTAGGGCCCTCTGAGGAGTGCTTAGCTGTGCCGCAAACTCACCTTGCTTGTTGCTTTTCACTTGAACCGTCTTCCTCCTAACGATCTGTTCATATCACAACCAACTGGCTTCTCCAGACCTGCTCCTCCCTGTCTGCCTGTAGAGCCTGTTGACAGGCTTCTCTGCTGACAGGCCCCGAAATGTAGCCAAGACCAGGAGATCATCCTTATTATAAGTTTTCTAGAGTTTTAGACAACAGCAAATTGTGAGAAACTTTTTACCAGGCCTCCCATTTTATTTGATTATAATCTTGATTTTTAATGTTAAAAATATTTTTAAATGTTAATATTTTTGATATTTTT